TAGTCTCCTTGCTCTTGTAGATCTCTTAAATCACGTCTATTATTATTGTTATTAGTACTACTAGTTTTTCTCTATACTATAGCACTTCTTCCTTATCTTTATAATTTTGAATATTATACCTAAATATTTTCTTCTTTAAGTTCTCTATTTATTTCTCTATCCTAATTGTATTAAACGTCTTATTAACCTGATTCTCTTTCTTTACCCTCTTTTAGAGCGGCAAATCTTCCTTCTCTAATAATGCCTGCATTATTAAGATCTTTAGGTTGTCTTTCACCTCCTTAGATAGCATGTCTGATTACAGAAGGGTCTAATGCAGATTAGGATTCTCCTTTACTCTTAGGATCTTATTTTTCTTTTAAGTTAATATATTAGCTTTTCTGTTAGTAGTTCTTAGATGATATCTAATCTTAAAGTTGTATTAAGATAATAACTCTGCCTAATATGCTTGTTAACGTGTTAGCTTCTTTATTAATATAAAATACTCTAGAGCCTTATAATCTATGAGTATTTAGATAGGATCCTCTCTTAGCAAGCGTAGCTCTAGTGACTATTCCTCAAAATAACAGATAATAGCTAGTAGTTCCTTATTGTAAATCATGTAATTACACTCTACTAGTGCTATACTTATTAAGAAGAATGCTATAGGATAAAGTTCTCTATCCTCCCCTTATTACAAGAGCACTCTACTAACTATATAGTCACTTATGTCACACTCTACAACTGTCTCTTTCTCAGAGTCGAAATAAGCGAGGACTAGCTTCTTTGAAACGAGGTCCTTCAGGGCCTAGAACGCCTTAGTATAGTAGTCATCCCAGGTGTGCCCTGCATCCTTCTTCAACAGGTCATTTAGCAGCCTTGCTACCTTGCTGAATCCTAAGCAGAATCATTGATAGAAGTTAGCAAACCCCAGGAATCTCTGCACCGCGCGGACATCTCCTAGGTTAGGTTTCTCCTACTCCTGAATAACTCGTACGCGCTCTAGATCCATCTGAATGCCCTCTGGAGTCACGATCAACCCGAGATACTTCACTAACTATATATAGAACTCGCTTTTCTTAATGTCAGCCTGAATATTACTTTTGCAGAGAATCTGTAAGACCTCTTGTATGTGTTGCTCATGTTCTTCTCTCAATTGGCTAAAGATCAAGATGTCGTCTAGGTATAGTATAACGAATTTTCTAAGTACCTTTATAAATTTCTTGTTTATAAAGCGTTAGAATATCGCTAGCATAGAGGTTAATTCGAACAGCAATACCCTATATTAGTAGTTGCTATACATAGTACTAAACATAATAAGTTTATAGTCCTTCTTAGTCGCCAAACAAATCTAGTAATATGTCTGTTAAATATCTAGCTTAAAAAAGACTATAGCTTTTTTAAAAAGACTTATAGTCTTATTAATCTGAGGGATGATATAGCTATTCTTCTTTATAATAGTGTTTAGATCTCTAAAATTAATACAGAAACAAAGTCCTCCTTAGGGTTTCTGTATTAGAAGAATTAGTAATACGAATAAGGTAGTGCTTAATTTAATAAACCTCTTTTCGAGATGCTCCTTAATATATTTCTTGATCACCTTAAGCTTATTTAGGCTTATCTTACGCAAGGGCTGCGTTTAGGGCAGTTTAGCACCTGCTTCTAGTTTAATCTTATAGTCATACTCTTCCTTATGCTCTAGAAGAGTATCAGAAACCTCCTTTAAAAAGACATTTGCAAATTCTTGAAATTTCACTAAAAGAACTTTTTTTGGATCTAGTTCTGACTAGATCTGTTTCTTAATGTATTTATTTATGTCCTTTATTATAATAATAAATATTTCTGTACTAAGGGTAATTAATAATTACTTAAATACTATAATGCTTATAGGCTTAGTACTGTACTAGGCTGCCCTAGCCTCCTTAACCTTTCTTTTATAAGTAATAGCTATAGTTATCCTGTTATTCAGAGTCTTCTCTATCTTAATAAGACATAAAGGTTATAAAATAGCCAGGGCTATTTTAGGACGCTTAAGAATCTTTGTTACTTATAATAATAATGCCCTAATCAGGTTAGCCTAAAATTTAGCTATATATATATAGTTAAATTTGTTATATAGCTTCTTTATTAGCTCTTTCTTTGCTGCTTACTCCTTAGCTTTAGGCTTATTACTCTGATTCTTATAATTCTACTAGAATATAAGTTGCTTTTTATAATTATAATCCTTTATAAACTTTACTAATAAATCCTTAAGATCTAGAATATAGCTATATAGCCTTATTTACTTCTTCCCTAAGATTATAAGGTATATAGCCTTTATTATATTTTTTATTAGCTTTTTCTCTGCTGCTTGCTCCTTAGCCTTAGGCTTATTACTCTGACTTTTATAGTTCTACTAGAATATAAGTTACTCTTTATAATTGTAATCTCTTATAAACTTTACTAATAAATCTTTAGGATCTAGAATATAGCTATATAGCCTTATTTACTTCTTCCCTAAGATTATAAGGTATATAGCCTTTATTATATAAAAGATCTATAATCCCTGCTAGTGTTTGCTAACATATATAAGTAAATAGAGGGCCTAAGAAATAAATTAATAGATTTTACTAGTAAAATCAGAAATAGGAATAAGTTTAGCTAAGTCTACTATATTAATTTATAACCTTTTATAAAGTTGTTTTATTAATTAATAATTTATAATTATGCTTAACTAACATCCTATATTTAATAGTATTAATACTATTAATCTTTCTCTCCTTCTTTTAATGCTAATATTAATTAGAAATAAAGCCTTAAAATTACTCTTTACTACTATAATAAGGATCCTTATAGCTTCTTTATTAGTTATGTTACTAGGCCTGCTTACAACGTCTTAATAGTAGATAGCTCTTTTCCTGATTACTCTTATATCTAAGAGCAATCCTTTATATAATGTCCTAGTTTCTTATAACAATAGCACCTTACTATAGATATATTTCTTAGAAGTTGTGGCTTAGTTACTAGCCTCTCCTCCTTTACTATTAATTCGCTAGCAGATTAATAAGTACTAGAAACTAAAGGTTTTGTTAGTGTGCTAGCGCTAGCTACTAGTTTGTTTAATGTGATATATTAACTATTTATATTAGTATATATTAGGTTAGTGATTATTTCCTAAATTAACATATATTTGTAGAGAATAATTACTTACTTCAGATCATCTTAAACCTTATCTCAAAGGTCTATAATCTGGTCCTTTTCTTAGACTTCTGCTTTACAGGAAAGCCGTCAGAAGTCCCTTAGGAAGGCAGCGAGGTCCTGCTGCCTTTGCCGTAAGTAGTGGTACTCCTGACAAGCAGTCTCCTGCTAAAACGGGGAGTCAAAGCGATTCGCTATATCTGTAAAGATATCCGAAATCTGGGCCCTTTCAAAGTCTTCGAAGTAGGACCCAAGCAATTCACAAGCGTCACTGCTAGTACGCGACTATACGTAGGCGACCTTAGACAGTTCCGTTGGAAAAAGCGCTGCATTAACCATGAACTTCATCTTTATGGCTGACAACCAGGAGCGGAACTTCTGAGGAGGCCCGTCCTCAAATACCTCTGGGTGAGGCAACTTCTCTGTCTTCGTACCAAGCACTGTCGCAGGGCTCGGAGTCGCTTCCAACGAGACTTGCCCTTGAGGCGGCGATTCTCGTTCTGTCGGAGTTGCTGAAGGAGACTCCACTCGGACTTGCGGCTTTAGTATCGCTGTAACCTTGTCGCGGAGGTTCTAAATAATCTCCTCCTTATTATGGAGTTGATCCTTTAGTAACTCAATCTTGATACTGGTGCCTCTGTCAAGGTCTTGGTATCTTTCTTCCCAAGTTTCCTTCTCTTAGAGAGCTTCTTGATACTCAGCCTCCTTCTCTAGGCGGAAGGCTTTTTCTTCCTCATAGGCGGCTACTAATGTCAGTACAAACGCCGCTGCATGTATCTGATTCTCGTTAACAAGTGCCATGAAGGCTGGAAGAGCTGATAGGTCATCCGTCGCTCTCTCTGCGTGCTCAATTAATGCGCGCAGGGCGTCTTGATCTGTAGGAGGGGCTTCGTCTAGGCTCCGCCTC